CTAAAGGAAATTGTTTCTTTGCCTCTAAGGCTTCGGCTATAAATTGCCAGTTGGTTGTAGGACCACAGCTTGATCCACAGAAGAGAAATTTCTCTAGCCACATCATCAAGAAAGCCACGTGTTCCCGAGGGGTGACTGAACCCTGGCCCATGTATGTTGCCACATAGCCTGACCAGCCGCCTATGCTCTTGGTCTTAAAGTCATATTGGTTCTTTATGTTCAACCTCATAGGGTTAGCCGATGAGGTGACGTCCAAGCCCGTAATCATGATGATATCTATGAGAGTTGGGGTCATTGGCCCTTGGTTGAACAAGAAGGCGTTGATGGTGTTGGACCAGAAATAAGAGGCAGCCGCCATTAAGGGTTCGTCCTTAGCTGAGTTGGCTATGGTAAGGTCAAGTGCTTGGCCAATTCCGATTTCGTCCCAGTGAACCCTTTTGACAGCCGATATACGCTTGAACCATGTTGCCCAACTTTTCTCGGGTGAAGTTTTCTCTAGGGACGGCCAAGATTTAAAGGTATTTTTTCAGTGACCTAGATCTGGGTTGGTTAATCTGAAAGGAATCCTATTGGTTTCACCAATGATGAACTCGGTGGGATCAATGTTGCCGACTGGGCCGAGAAAGTAGTGGTTTTCATGTGATAGGCTTGGAATTGCAACTAGATTGGAGAGATGCTACAAATTCAAAGTGACCAAGAAAAGGAAAGCACCATAAGGCAAGAGAAAACCGATCTGATGAAAAGAAAGGGGATCTAGCCGATTAGAACTTACCTCTGCGTACTCAGCTGGTGGTGCGGCAGATGGGCTGGCGGAAGACGACATCGCCGCGGGTGAGGATCTGGCCGAAGGAGAAGTCGCTTGGGGATCGCCTTGTGCGTCGGAGGAATCGCCGGAGAGAGAGAAGGCAGAGCTTCGCTTAAGCGGTGAAAACGGAAGTCACGGTGTGAGATTTATCGGGAACAGCGATTAGTGTTTAAAGTGCTAGAATAACGGTCGGAAAACGGTAGAGTGCGAAACTTAATCGAAGTCAGTATTCGGCAAATCCGGAACATTACCAAATATCCCGGACTTGGGGGGCATGTGTTAACGACCAAATTTGGTAGTATCAGCATCGGAGATGAAGATTAATCGAAGCGGAATCGAAGATGGGGATTGTTGCAGAAACAGAGTGAGAGTTGGCTGGAGTCCGGATCGGCTACGATTGGAATCGGCTAAGTCTGAGTTAGATTGGTTAAGTGATATAGCCGATTCCGGCAACACGACCTGTGTACAACATCGGGTTCGAGTTGATGTGCTTCAAGATGATTGCCACGCATGGATGGAGTCCTGATCAGGCAATTGTATCTATTAATTAGGATATTTTATGTAAATTCCTTAGAGATAGATGTGGGCAAAAGTTTGCCGTAAAGACTTATGGTATCTTAGAGTTTGTTAGAGATAATAGTCGTGTCCGGTATGGGCGTATCTTGTAATCCTCGGGTATAAATAGACCCCGAGTCCTATGTAAAATACACACACATTCAATACAATCTTGGCGCATCACCACCCTTTTGCTTTTGTTTTATTTCGACGAGTTCTTGCTTTCGGGTTGAGTTGCATCGGTTTCAATCTTCAACAAGAGGTAAAGCTTGTCATGATGGCTCGTGTTCTTAGGATTAGTGCTTCCATCTTTATGATACTCTAATCTCGTTTATGCAATTCGTCGAGTTATCATATATCCTATATAATCTCTAGCAATATCGCTATCTAACCCACAATCAGCTAATGTCTGTTAATAGAGGGCAGCCGATTAGGTTAGATATCGATGTTGGTTTAGATTATATAAGATATCCACCACTCTATGAAACTTCCAGCGGCTTGATTGTCTAGATATTGTTCTTCTTTTCATACTTAATGCTGCATCAGTTGAGTTTGATCTATTAAGTCGTGCTTAGAATTTCAATCTCTAGCCTGCCTTCTGGTTGCCGATTAGGGTAGTATCGGAGTTTCAGCCGATCTTATCTGATTTAACTATATTTGCTCTTTATGCTTTATTGACATGTCAGATTTGCCCTTTATGTTAAGATATTATTGCATCTAAGTATATTAAGCTTCTGTTTGGTATATTCTGTTTGTTTTGATATCTTAACGTAGAGTCGTATCGGAGTACTAGCCAATACATGCTAGATCTATCTGACTATAAACATATATAGTTCTGTTATTAATATATATTTCAATCTAAATGATTTATACTGTCTCAGCATGGTGACCGATCTATCCCAATCACTTGATTTAAGTATGTATCGATATCAAAACTATATATTATTGATATCTACAACCGATTGAGTAGATTTAGTTCTTTATTATCTATTTGTAACCACCGATCGATTCACGTATGACATCGGCTCAAAGATAAATGATATGTCATCGTCATCTAGCCGATCGGCTATCATTTATAAGTTTAACTGCGGTTTCTTTGTCTATGTTTCTTGTTGATTGCAGGATCAAATTAACTGGCACGCTCATACATCTAAAGGCGAGCTTTGGACCTGCACTAGAGTTAAGCAGATCTCCCAGGCCTCGTGTTTTCTGTCAACAAGTCGACAACAGGGTAGTCTTCCTCCTCGAATCCATGCCCGGCGAGATCAGAGACAGCGCTAGATCCCTACAGCCGGCCTCTGGAGGTACCGGATAGGGTCAGTCCAGGCATATCCCTGATGTCGATATCCGGCGGCGCGTCTTGGCGTATGTTGGCTTGTATGCTATGGCTTCTATTGTTCCGTGTATGTTGGTTCTCCCCCCTCCTCCTAGGGGCCCTTGTATTTATACCCATAGATGTCCCCTTGTCCAAGTAGAACTAGGGAAACCAATATGGATACAATCCGAGTAGTCCTTGTCGTTTCCATGTAGAACTCTATTCATCCTTCCTTATGCGGAACTCCTCCTATATTCGAAGGTTGCTTCCGTATAAGACATGATATTTGGTGGGTCCTGCCGAGATTTAGTCGACTACCATTAGGTATGTGGTATCCATAACCCTGACAATGGTAATATAGCAAATAAGAACGGAAACTCCTTTCATGGCAATAGAGGTTGTCAGAGTTGGACCTAGGAAAGGCCATGTCCTACAAGGATTCTCTGAGTTCTACGTGGAGAAGAAATTACCTAGCTGTATAAATACAATGTCCCCTAGGAGAGGAGGGCATCGAATCACAAGCCATAGCCACAAGCCACATTGCATATCCACCCGAAGGAAGTCAACAGTTAGCCGCCAACTACAAGTCGTCGGATAGTTCCCGGCGAGTGCTAGTTGGTAGGCTAGATTAGCTAGCTTGCACCACCATTGTAATCTATGAGATACATCCCAGAGTTATACGTACATATAAACTGCATTAGGGTTATTACCTACCTTGGAGGCTTGAACCAATATAAAAATCCCTTATTTCCATTTACTTTAGCATAATATCATGTATATCTTTGTACTAGCGTTCCCCATACTATACAAATACCATAGTCGGGTACAAACCGTAGACTATGGCATGCTAGGTAGGGGGTTTGGTGCTAAAAGGTTTCGACAAGATGGGTTCAATAGGTGGGTTTTCAGACAACAGCTTCTAGATCAGCTTGGCTTGGGAGATATGACCTAGATGGCATTCACTCTTCTCCAAGTCAGATCCGTCATGTTCCTGGTCTTCGCTGCTATGTCATCGATCTATCCTTCGGCTTCCGCTAAGAATAGGACGTCGACGAGGAATCCCGCACACAAGACCAGGAAGCAGTGGTGCTCCATCCACAAAACGATTTTCACTCCCTAGATGGGTCCGACATTATGCTAAATGAGAAGGTTGAATGTGATGCTTGCAAACTTCGTGATACTCAGTGTGTCTCGCCGTACAAAGTATGCCCCATCCACAAGACAAAATACCGTACTCTGATGGAGTGCAAAGTCTTCATCAAGGTTGTCGAATCCATGACCTCGTCTTCATCAGCCATTTCTCTTCCCAAATGTTGTCCGATCCACCCACGGCGGTGTCAACCCACCAGCTCGGGATCAGACGATGACATGTTGGATAACTTAATTCCTGACAACACAAATCGATTGGTTTGTTACCTTGGACTAGATCCCCTCAAACCATATGTTCTCCACAGTTTGGATCCTCTCGAGTCCTCAACATCTTAGGCCGATGCTATCCAATAACTACTTCCTTTCGATCCCTTTGTAGATTCGGATTACTCCGACCGAATCAACACCTTCTTGTCATCAAAATCTATTGTGTTTACCAGGACGCACATATACATCTGTGGCCTCGACGTGCACGTCGCTATCTGTGACCTCCATGCACATATACATAGCTTGTAGTTGGATCTCGTGTTGATGTATCTGCTTCCCTTCTAGTGTCATCCTTTAGTCTCCTCTATTAATTACTACCTCCGTCCCAAATTAGTGGTCGCTTTGACTTTTTCTTTGCAACATTTGACTATTCGTCTTATTTAAAAAATTAGTGCAAATATAAAAAATGATAAGTCATACTTAAAGTACTTTTGATAATAAAGTAAATCACTAACAAAATAAATAATAATTTAATAATTTTTTGAATAAGACGAATGATTAAACTTACGAACAAAAACTTAAAGTGACAAATATATATTTTGGGACGGAGGTAGGCATCAAGCTGGTGATCTGATCTCACGGTGAGGAACTTCTACATCCACATCGACAAACTACGGCCGAGATCAATAATGATTTTCTTCTGCATCCAGTCGGTACCAGGGTTTTAAATTTCGAAAGCAGCAGTTCTGCCGCTGCTGAGCGATAGAACCAAAATTTCCAAAATTTCGTACGAAATTTTTTGAATTTTTGACGGATTTTGAATAAATTTGAAATTTTCGGACGAGATGTTAGCATTTCAGTGGGGGGCGAAATTTCAGAAATTTCGTTCCGAAATTTCAAACACTGGTCGGTACCACCAAATTCCACATTAGATCAAATTTAGAGATCATCTTTTGGGCAAAGCACAGATTAATTACAATTTACAAACTCACATTATAATTACCCACGATGCACCATTCAAACTGCAATACAAATCTACACAAGTATTACAAACAGATGGTACAACAATCCAATCATCCATTACAAGTTTATAACAAACACATACGTCAGCAATCACCAACAACAATCAGCCACTATACAATTGAAGATCAATCAGGACGAGAAATTCAGAGACCATTACATCGTTCACTACTACACCGCAGCGCCACCGCCGGTCTGATTATTATTATCGGAGCTCTCGCCGAAGTATCTCCAGACCTTGAGCCTCTCGGCCTTGGCCGCCACGGCGTCGAAGGACAGCAGCACGTGCAGCGCGATGTACACCACGACGGCGCCGACGAGCGCCACCACGTACGCCGACGTCTCCCACTCCCTGCAGCTCCCCGCGGCGTAGGCGCCGAGGAGGCCGAGCAGGTCCAGCACCACCGCCGACTGCATCGCCCACAGCGGCGCCGCCGGCGCGCCGCGCCGCCGCCGCCGCCGCAGCAGCAGCAGAACGATCACCACCACGGACGCCACGAACGACGTCGCGTTGCAGTGGAAGAAGGCGTGGTACCTCGCCCGGTCGGTGTCGTGCAGCACCGGGTCGCCCGCGGCGTAGTGGTACGTCGCGGAGCCGCCGGCCACCATGGCGCCGTCGCCGCCCCACGTGCCGCCCGGCGGCGAGAGGCCCGCCTGGTACGTCACGCTCGCGGCGAGGACGCCGAGCAGCATCAGGTACTTGCGCTTCATGTACTGCTCCGTGTGCCGCTCCCCGGAGTCCTGCTGCTTGTCGTCTTCGCCGCCGGCCGCCGCCGCCGCCTTCCGAGGCGGCGGCGTCAGCGGCTCGAACAGCGCCAGCAGCCACGGCGGCAGCCGATGTTCCAGCGTCGCCGGCACGACGCGCTTCGCGAGCAGGAACAGGAGGATCTGGAGGAGGAGGAAGCCGACCACGGCGGCGACGAGCGCGATGACGTAGGCGGACGTGCGGAGCCTCCGGCAGCTGCCGGCGGCGTAGGCGAGCATGAGGCCGAGCAGGCCGACCACGACGCAGGCGTTGAGCGCGTTGCACCGGATGCCCTGCTTGTACAGCCGCCGGTTGACGAGCATGAGGATGACGGCGACGGACGCCATGAACCCCGTCGCGTTGCAGTAGAAGAACACCATGTACCGGTTCCGGTAGTGGTCGACGAGGACCGGGTCGCCGGCGCGGCCGTCGTCGGAGCCCGACCAGAACCCGCCCGGCGGGTTCAGCCCTGTCTTGTACGTCACGGTGGCGGCGAGGATGGCGAGCTGCAGCAAGAACTTGCGCTTCCTCTCCAGGTCGTCGTCGGCTTCCTCGGCCTGGCCGTCCCAGAGGTGCAGCCTCTCTAGAACCTTCTGGACCATCCCGTCCACCCACCGCATCAGCCTCGTCTCCCTGCTCCGCCCCATGGTGGTGAACGCCACGACGTTGCCGAGGGAGTAGACGAAGACGGCGACGGCCAGGGCGGAGACGTAGACGGTCGCCGCCGCGCTCCGGCAGCTCCCGGCGGCGTACGCGCCCATGAGCCCCAGCAGGTCGAGCGTCATGGCCGCCTGCAGCGCGCGGCGCTTCACGACGGCGCCCGAGCTCAGCTGCCTGCTCTGCACGATGACGATCACCACCAGCGACGCCACGAACGCCGCCGTGTTGCAGTGGAAGAACGCCTTGTACCTCCTCGGGTGCGTGTCGAGGAGGATCAGCTCGCCGGCGCGGCCGCCGTCCGGCCAGAAGCCACCCGGCGGGTTGAGCCCGGCGTCGTAGGTCACCGTCGCCGCCAGCGTGGCGAGCAGCAGCAGCAGCGACCGTGACTCTTCCACCGTGTCCGCGTCGCCTTCATCGCCATCGCCTCCTCCTCCTCCGGTGACATCGCCATTCGGAGCACGAACTTCGCATGGCGTGTTGTTCGGAGTTGCTGGGCACGGCTTCATCTCCCTACTCAAGTGACATACAGTACATAGCATCACGTCAGGTCGAGAGGGATTCTAATCTAAATGGTTGTGAAATAATTTTAAAAAAATAACAAAACAGATTAATATGTACTCCTATATTACTCCACAAACATTTAAGTTCAAATTCGATATTTATAAGTTATAACAAAAGTAATAAATTAAACTAGCTATAACTAGTATATGTATATTTACAATCAATTTTGGGGAAAACTGTTTTAACAACTTGAGTGGACGTCTACTTGTTTACTGCATATCATCTAAATAACTATGAAAAAAATTGAAAAAATATGAACAAGATATATCAATATATAATATATCAATCCACAAACATACAAGTTAAAAATTCAACTTCTACAAATTATAACAAAATAACAAACAAAAATCAAATTACTATGCGTATATTTACAATTAAATTTGTTATTTTTGTTACAACTTGTAGAAGTTAAAATTTGAACTTGCATGTTTGTGAAATAATATATATTACATATTGATCTATCTTGTCAATTTTTTTTGAAATTTTTTTCATAATCATTTAATTGACATGCAATAAATAGGTGGACGTCCACTCGAGCTATTAGAATCTATCTCCGTCAATTCTGTTATAACTTAGAAGTCATTTTTTTTTTGCGGGGACGTAGAAGTCAATTTTCATCTTGCATGCTTGTGTAATGATATATATTACATATTAATTTATCTTGTTATTTTTTTAAAAAAAATTCATAACTGTCTACTTGTCAGCTTACAAGTATTGGACGCGATGATCATGCGTGACGTCATCAGCGCGCAGGTGTTCAGCTGGCTCCATGCTGCGTCGGCACTGCAGGATCCTGCAGAGGCCGACGAGCCATCTCTTGATCGCGGCCATGGCGAACATCCCGACGACCACCTGGAGCGCGATGTAGACGAGCACCGCGCCGGCGAGGGAGACGACGTAGGCGGTGGTCTCGCGCTTCCTGTTGCTGCCGGCGGCGTAGGCGCCCACGAGGCCAAGCAGCTCCACCATCACGCACACCTGCAGCGCGTACGACCGGGCGACGCGGCGGCTCAGCGTGCGGCTCATCAGCAGCATGACGATGGCGAGCGACGCCACGAACGACGTGGCGTTGCAGTAGAAGAACGCCCTGTAGCGGCTCCTGGACGGGCCGTCGCGGAGCACGGGGACGCCGGCGGTGTGGCCGCCGCCGGTGCTGTCCCAGAAGCCGCCCGGCGGATCGAACCCGGCGGCGTACGTCAGCGGCGTCGCGAACGTGGCCAGCAGCAGCAGGAACTTGCGCCGCTCCTGCCGGTCCTCCTCGACGCGCCGCGTCGTCATCGACGCCGACGCCGACGCTGCCTCCTCGTCGTCGCCCTTCCTGAGCAGCTCCTCCGCCTTGCCGGCGAGCCTCTTCGCCGACGCGCGCAGCCACTCCACCGGCGGCAGCGCCGACGTGGCCACGACGATGTGCAGCGCGACGTACGCGAACACCAGGCCGAACAGCGCCGAGACGTAGGCGACGGCGAGCACGTCCCTGCTGACCCCGGCGGCGTAGGCGCCCATGAGCGCGAACAGGTCGAGCACCATGGCGGAGCGGAGCACGGTGACGCCGACGCGGTTGCCGCTGACGCGGCGGTCGAGCAGCATCATGATGACGACGAGCGACGCGACGAAGGCGGTGGCGTTGCAGTAGAAGAAGGCGAGGTAGCGGCTGTGGAACGTCACCGGGAGCACCGGGTCGCCGGTGGCGTGGCCACCCGTGTCGTCGGGCCACACGCCGCCGGGAGGGTTGAGGCCGGCGTCGTAGGTGACGCCGGCCACCAGCGTGGCCAGCAGCAGGAGGTACTTGCGCCATTTCCACAGGAAAATGTAGTCCTCCGACTCCATGGGAGCTCACAGCTCAATGAACTATACAATAGTGAACATGTGGTTAACTGGTTACAGGCTCTCTGCAAGATATATATATAGAGAGAGAGAAGGAGAAAGGTGGATTTTTCATCTCTTCATGGATATCAAAAGGTCATCAAATTATTTTTAAAAAATGAAGATAGATTAATATGTGATATGTTGATTCATAAACATACAAATTTAAAGGGAGTATCTGAAATACTGCCACAAGTTTTTTGAATGAAAGCCTTTTAGTTATAATTATAGTATAATTGAAGTGTAATTACGTATCTGTTCTGTAACTGTATTGTAACTACATTGTAATTACAGTATAACTTACATAAAACTTGTATTCAAGTATGGTTTTGTTGGTTAACAATGGGATCTTGTGCATGATATGTGGGAAAAATTCTTTCTAGTAATTTTTTCCTTCATACATAAATCTTATAAATCTTAAGGTAATCTGATGACTACAAATCTGAAAGTTTTGGGGTAAATTAAAAACTTACGTAAGTTTTCTATTGATTCCGTTTTGGTTTTACTTGTGTACGTTGAATTTGAATTTACATGTTTTTGACTAACGTATCTCATATGATCTATCATGTCAATTTTTTAAAAAGTTTTTTATGGTTATTTAAGTGGCATGAAAAACAATGTGGATATCTATTTAAGGATGGAAAGGGTTTCCATATACACATATACTGCCGTTCTGTGCCATTGTCAAGTAAATGTCAAGGGAGTCGTCGAGAGATCGGCTGATGATCCAATTGTGCATGGAGCTGTCATCTTTTGGAGGAGAATTGAATCATGTGCTGTAATCGACGGGCTTGATGTAATTGGCACTTTTAGATGAGCCATAGGTTGCTTAGTCTCAGCTTAGTCATGATCGTTTATGCGGTTAATTGTGCCTTTCACGTAATGCTTTTATATGCTTGATGCCCTAGCTAGTTAAAGATCAATCATATATCTGTTTGTTGGTATGTAAAGCCTTTCCTGAAGTTTTGTGTGAACTCTGAAGTAGTGAACACATTGGACCCTGCTTCATAGGTACATATTGTGATATTAATCATTTGGGTATGCACAATATATTTAAAAGTAAATTTAACGTTGAGCCATGTTTTTTTTATAAAAAAGTTTTATGATGGGCTAGCTAGGACTAAACCAATGTTTTTATTTAACACCACATTTCTTTACATTAGTTTTAATTTGGACTTAGGCTGCATTCTTTCCAACATGTTCCCAACCTTTTTTCCCTCATTTTTCACGTACACGCTTTCCAAACTGCTAAACGGTACATTTTTAAAAAAAAAATCTATAACAAAGTTGCTTTAAAAATCATATTAATCAATTTTCAAATTTTTTAGCTAATTATTAATTAATCATGCGATAATAAGTTACTCCGTTTTATATGAGAAAAGTTCCCAATTGTTTTTTCGAAACACAGCCTTAGGGTGAGTATATTAATGGAACATGTAAGAGAACTTCAAATTAACCAGGAATAACATAGGGATGAATATGAAAATAGCTAAATCATTGTTTGTTTTCTCTTTCCTTAATTTTAGTGTGAATGGTGTTGGAATTAATATGTGGGTTAAGATCAATATGGAGATTAATTCCTAAAGAAACCACAAAGACCTACCTAATGGAAAGGATTGCATGTCAATATTTAATAACATCTTACTTATTCTAGGAGAGAGAGACCTCCTTAAAACGAAGAGTGCTCTCTTCGCCAATTTTAGGCGGCATGTGTGGTGCATGAACGCACGCGCTCGCTCGCCTGGCATGGACATGGGCTGGACGGTGCGCATACGCGATATACGGGTGAATGGTCCATCAAAATTGACACCTCATCCTTTGTGGGAGAGTGTACATGCCAGCACGCACTGGTTTTCAAGTCCCAAATATATCATAAAATCTCTTTAAAAAAACAAAAGATAATGCCACATATACCTCTCTCTAAAAAGTGCTGACAAGCGCTTAACTGTTGGACTACTCTTTTACAAGGGGGTGACCCCAGAACCGGTCGAAATTGTGGACATTTCTTCTGCCATCATGGTTTACAAACGCAATGTAGTATTTACAATTACAATGTAGTCCATCAAAATATTATTACCTCTATTAAAAAATGTAGCTATTTCTAGCACAGTAACTTGTCTCAGAATGAAGTTATTTCTCCACCTACCCTCTGCTCTCAACCAATCTCACCACCATTCTTTTCACCTACTTTCTTCTCTCCACCAATCACAACCATCCTCCAATCATCTCTATCTATTTTCTTAATACACGTGTCTACCTCAAAAATACCTACATTCTGAGACGGAGGAAGTGGTATTTCTAGGTTCTTTAACACAAATAAGGTGGAGGGCAACGACTCTCTTTTAACCATTCTAGTTGTCAAATTTTGAATTGATCAGGTTTATTTGTCAAGTATCTTATTGTCTGAAAATATATAGATTATATTTCTATACATTGGAATCGTACCCTAGAAATACTTGTTATTATAATGCAATTTCAAATCCTAAAAATACTTATATTTTAGAATAGAAGGAGTAGCACAATACTTGGCACTCTTCACTATGAAATCATGTGACTTATTCTTGATTATGAACAATTGTCAAAGGTGTGTGTGTGGGTGTAAAAATAAAGTGATAGTGTTTCTGGATTGTGAATAGTGTTGTTGGCTCTAGGAGGCTGGTCAGACTGTGCAGGTGCCACACCGGTGGTGTTGGTGCGGTCTTACCAGGTTGCACGATAGTTAGACCGGTGGATTCCATGTGGAAATCGGTTTCAGGTTGTTTTCGTGGGTTTTCTAGATTGCTTCATGTTTATAACTTCTATATGGTTTCTATACGTATGTTATTGTATACTGACGTGGGTCAAGTTGGTGCGAACGTGTACTCGGATATGGAGTTTCTTTATTACTCATGTGCAGGTGTGTCTTGAGGCCATGGGAGTATAGCTGGTGATGGATCGAAACTAGACTTGGGAGAAGTTAAGGACCAGAAAGTCAAGGATATATATCATGCGGGATGTTCATGTAAGATCAACGTGTGTTTTGATTCTTACTCTGTGATAAACATTTGGCATCTGTGTTTATCGGTTTTGATATTTGGAGATTATCATCGAAGTGGTTTTGGAGATAATCAATTTTCAGGAGATGAACAGGGTTTACTGGTTTGTCGGGACCGGTCAGACCGGGCGGTGGTTGCCGGTCAGACCGGCTTGCCCGCGGTCTGACCGGCCGATGCTGTGTCAGTTTCGGTTTCGGGTTGTTTCTTTGGATATCTGTGATTGTTTCATGGTTATGGCTTCTAGATGGATACTATACGTATGTAATACTGTTGTTTGCTAACAATGAGTCAAGTTGAAGATAGCTTGGTCTCGGAATATGGTTTCTTTGTTTGTTTCATGTGTAGGTGACTCGATGCCTCAGGAGAGTATTTGCGGTGATGGACCGGAAGTCAGCTTGGTGGTAAGACGATGTCCGTGGTGGTCAGATATCATGCGGGATACTAAGGCTAGAGTTGATGCACGTGGTTGATGGAGATTCTATATAGCATATGATGGAGGTATTGTGTGCGTATAGGATGCGGAGTCGAATTTGGAAGGAGTCCAAATTTGCTACGATTGGTTATGTAAAGTTTATTTTTTGTACTAGAGGGTTTCCTAAGGTGTTTAGGACTCTTAGTACGAATTTGGTTCGTGGCTTTAGGCTGCCTACCTCATGTATAAATAGAAGGGGAGCGTGAGGCTTCCCGGTATCGCTTTTGTATCGCTTTCAGAGCAATTGAGTTGATAGTTTAGTTAGGGTTTCAAGTTTAGTCGAGAATTTTGTAAGGAGTGTTGTTGGTGCACTTTGTAAACACAGAGAGAAGCAATAAAGTTGTTATCTACTTTGAGAGTTCTTCGATTTGTGTTTCTTCGGGTTCCGGCGGCGTGCGAGCGGTCCGACCGGCGGCGTGCAAGCGGTCCGACCGGCGGCGACAGGACTACGTTGAGATTTCCATCGATTTGAGGGTAACTTTTATTTCCGCTAAAAGTTTTTGGGTTTTTGGTTTTCCCTACCATTCACCTCCCTCTGGTAGGCTTGGTTTCTTGTGTTCAATCCTACAGTTCAGACTAGAAAAAAATGCACGTGAATGTGAAGGTTTCTATATAGGATACATGTGGTGTTGTGTGCATACGAAAAGAGTAGTTAAATTTGGATTGGAGTTCAAGTTTAGAAATATTGAAGTTTGAAGTTGTATAGAGATGTTGTTTCCCTAATTTGGTAGGTTTCCTATGTTATTATGAGTCCTATTTCTAGTTGGATTTGTGGCTAGGGCAGCCATGTTTTCGTTATAAATAGTAGAGTAGTTGAGGCTAGAAATATATAGATTTTTTAATAGAGAAAAATTAGGGTTTGCTTTGATACTTCGATTCTAGTTTGTGTGTTGAGAGAGGAGTGATTTAGATGCACTTTGTAAACACATCCTGATGCAAAAAAGTTGATTTTCTTTCAATAGTTTTGTCAATACGTGTTTTTCTGGATCCCGATGGTTACACTGGGATATAACAGACGGTCTAACCGATGGTAGGGAGGTGGTCCTACCAGCAAAAAGGCAGCAATCAGAGGTACGTTTAGACCGGCAGCGATATAACGATGTGACCAGTGCAACTTCGTCAAACTTAAAGGTAATTTGTATTTCCACTAAAAGTTTTTAGTTTTTAAGTATTACTACCATTCAAGCTTCTTTTGATAGGCTTGATTCTTAATTCTACATTCACAAAGCACAGATATCTAGAAATAGAATCCCACTAGTACAGAAAGTGTTATAGGTGCTGGTTCATGGGCCTAATAGGTGCCGGTTTCGGTGCTGGCACCAATTGGTCGACGCTAATGATCAAAGTCATTAGTGTCGGTTCCCAAACTGGCACCTATGTGTTTTATAGGTGCCGGTCGGTAACACTAACCGGCACCTATGTGATACAATAGGTGCCGGTTCTAAGTTTATAGCCGGCACCTATTATACCACATAGGTGCCGGTTAATGGTAATAACCGGCACCTATAATCATGTAACCTAAAAAAAATATAGTCGGTTCTCAGTATGTCCATTCACATAGCATGTTTTGGAATTTC